CAGCCCTCTGCGTCCATTGTTGGACATAGTCCCCTATTCTGTGCTGTTTGAATCCAATTGTTGGTCATTCTTTTGACGTCTAGTTCATCTGTTCGCTCGCGGTCTCCACTCAAGCAACCGTTTTATCCACTGATCATTCTTCATTCGCGCTACATGACCCGTCCAGTTCCACTTAAGCTTTTCCACAATGTTGACCACTTCATTTACGCCAGTTCTTCTTCATAGGTCTTCATTTCGTATGTAGTCTCTCAGAGTTAGACCCAGGATCGACCTCTCCATCTATCTTTGCGCTACTTGGACCCTCCTGGCAGTGGTTACCGTTAATGTTAAAGTTTCGGAGCCTTATGTCATAACCGGAAACACGCATTGATTGAAAGCCTTTCTTGGCCTTTTCTCTTGAAGATGTCTCTAAGATCCTTCTGTTTAGTTCGCTTGTTTGATTATCTCTCGATACACGAACCTCATAGCCAAGATATACATAGCTGTGAACCCTTTCAATCTCATTATCCCCAATGTTGATGTTAGAGCTGGGAACAAGATTTATCATAAATTTTGATTTCTCCTCGTTGATATTTAAGTCAAGTGTCCTTTAAGTCGTTCACCATTAGTTTAATCTCTCCAAGGCTATCCGATATAAGAACTATATCGTCCCCGTAGCGCAAATTATTTAAGCATTTGCAATCAATGTTTATGCCTTTTTGGGTCCAATCCAGTTGTTTAATGCACTCTGAGGACTGTGATGAACAATTTGAGTTCAACAGTGTCCCGCCTTGTTTTACTCACAATCAGTACTTTACTACTTTTACTCTCTTCAATACTTTCATGCAATTTTACCGTCATTGTAGATGTTATAAATAAGTTTCTGAAAAGCTCTGCATTCTTGAAGTGCTTGCAAAACTGCCATCAACTCAATTTAAATTAAATTTATAAATACCTCTAAATACCCATATTGGGGAAATACCCCCGGGTATATATCCAGGATATTTAAACTTGAAAATAAATACCCAGGTATTTAACAACACTGCCTTGGAGCAATACTAAGGTTCATTAAGGATCTACATTTGCCCTAAACTTTTGGAAGGCTAAAGTTACAATAGATCTTATAGGTCGCGGTGACGAGACCCGGCGTCAATAATAATAAGAAGGCAACTTATGTATTCTACACCGATTCATACTTTGAAAGACCTCCGCGACCGAATCAATCATAGTTTTCGTGTAGCGAGTTTGACAATCAATGGTTCGACGACAGCAAACCTGTATTGCTGCCAAAGGAGGACATTTTGAGTACTTACTCTAACGTCTAACCATAGTAAAATCCTAAATAAACTATGTGAAATTTGTTCTTGTTGTTTTAATAAAAATTGTTTGGTATTAATAATTATATTAAAAATCACAATTTGGGAATTCTTGATAACTTTTTAAGCAACCATTGACACATCTAGACGTTGGTGAAGTTCGGCCAAGCAATTCAGGTACACCTATATGTTCATAAAAGGTGAAAAAAGATGATTGTTCCTTGATTGTTCTTATAAAAATTATATATTTATCCACTAATAATAATACAGTATAATAATCTTCTTTCGAACCATCCAATATCACTGGATTTCTCGTAATACTAATCTCGAACAATGTTTTTTATTAGAAAGGTACGAAGTGGAACAGCATCTCAACGCAGATATTTTTTTAAAGATACAAATATTTACCTAACTCAACCCAGCAGGAAGTTATGTAACTGAGAAAATTTTAATAATGCGTTTCTTTTTTGAAAACAATTCTGAAAATGGCTTTACGGTAATAATTCGAAATTCTTCTTGCAAAGATTTATACGTCCTTTCGCCACCAACAATTTTCCTGCAACTAAAATCCCACTTTTTCAACAAGACCAGACAACAATAAAAATGTTTAATGATAGAGCGTCCAATCTATTTTCCTGTCGGGGGAGCTTTCGCACAAGATAGTGGTTTACGCTATTCAATCCTTTTGGGAGATATCCCGGCGAATTCTATTCCTTCAGCGAAGAATTGTAATATTTATTATAAATTACACAAGTTGAAATGTGTACATCGTACTTATTCATATATTTTAATTTAATTTCTTTAAATAATTTACAACTACAATTATTTCTTTGATAATTTAAACCATATCAAAATAATAAAAGGAACATTTGTCTACAATAGTACGGCTTTTAGGTGCCTAATGCAGCCAACAGTTTGAATTACGTGTTAAATTCTAAAATGAACAACTATGTCATATAGGGTTGACATTTCATTAACTTCTCCCGCCTGAGACGTCGTGTGGCGGATGCGCGGTGAAATTAATTGTGTGGTAAAGGTTTAACAGTTTTGTTATGGCTTTTACGTACATTTAGTTTTTGAATTAAATATAATGTTGTTCTATGTTAATAAATGGATGAACCTTACACGTATTAAATCACCTAAAAATAGCAAAAAATTCGTTTGAATTTTTTTCTTAATAACCTTCTTTATATGCATAAGGGATAGCGGTGAACGAACTTTTCGTCTTTTTTTTCAGACCCGAAAGAACGGATGAAGAGTCGACGAGTGATTCCCTTTCGGTTCCCAGGGTGAGGAAACGGCTGAGATCTTTCGAATCTGGCAGGGATCCCGAGAATTCCGGCGAATCCAACAGACACAGAACCATGTAACTGCATGCTTCGCCGGATATTTATGAATACCAAATTGATAGCCCATATACAAAAGAAAATCCAGGAAATTATATGAAAATTTCATATCTTGTACATTTGGATGTAATACATAGGATAACGCTTTTTAATAAAAAAAATATTGCTAAATAAAAAATGGGATTTTAGCTTTAAATAAAAAAATAATTTAATAAAATAAGATAAAGAATATGAGCACCGCCCAGATTTTACCGAAACAATTTTAAACAAATAGAATATGTCAATTATTTGTAGTAAATTGTAAATAATAGTATAGAGTACTTCTTCAAATCTATTTTGCTTTAAAAAAACAACAAAAATGCTTTGAGATAAAACGAAAAATAACTGTAGTTGGTGTTAAGATCATCATTTCGCTCTAATAATAATAAATTAAGAATATTTCAAATTGTAAACATTTTTTCAACTTAATCAAGAAAATATAAAAAAAAAATAATTTTTGGGAAACATCATTTTAACCCCGTAATTTTAAAATGATCAGAGACCAATTTACAGAGTTTTTTATGGATTAACCACATTTAATTTCTTTATGCAATATAGTTGTTTTTAAATAATCAATTTCTACTACAATTATTATAATTTTACAAAATCATTGCCAGTTATTAAAATAAATACATATCTATATTTTGGTATATGTATAAGCTGTTAGAACTCTATAACAGCTTTAATCGAACGTGTCAAACTAAAAAGATGTTACCAATAAACATTGTATTTATCGGTTAAAAATAACAAAAGAGAATAAATGGAGCACGTAAACGGTTGTACTCGAAATTCGAGAATAAAAGATAAAAGACGGATTCTTAGTATTCATTTTAACTATTGTACCAATGAAGCCTTATTGTAATTGTGATAAACTACGTTGTAACGAAAAAAAAAAGACGTTCTATATGTAAGTGGATAGATGTAAGTTCATTTGATGTGAAGGAAAATAAGGACAAAAAAGATAATGTATATGTGTCACAAGTTTATAGACGTGGTAAGTTAATTTAGGAAATGAATGTTCACTAATATTTAATTATTGTAGAAATTAGATATAAATAAAAACATCTATTTATAAATTGAGTTTCAATACTTCAAGAATTAAATTACATTGTTTCAAAACAAACTTATTAAGATAAAAGGTAGTAGATAAAAAGTAGCTTACAATTAAAGGCAGCCAAATCTACTATTTATCATTTATTTATGGCTTTATTTCATTTTGCAACTCTAGAACTCTATAATCCATGGAAATTATTGCCTAAATTTTAATCTGAGTTGTAAAATCGACCAAGTCCACCGCTGTTTGTGCATCAGAAGAGGCCAGTACCTTAAGGACGATACCACCTGAAGTATCTTATAGAAAAGCAGAATTTTTGTTCATTACGGTTATTAGTTATCACATTGTGTAATATGGAAATTAACATTGGAGAATAAACCACGGTAACCCCAAAAACGTTCAGCATCATGAAAAAAAAACCGTGCTAAAATAATGAGATGAGAATGGCGGTAAATTTTAGAGAGCATGTGCTCAAATATTTATTTACAGATATTCATCAGCTACTCCTCCAGAAATGCCATAAGTTAGGCGTAATACAAAGTTCTTCCGATACTCTACAATCAGTTTATTTGTATTTGGATTTCCATAGGCGATACTTCAGTACCCCGGGAAAGCTGAAACAAGATTCTTTTATATTAAAAGATATTGAGGTGAACATTTCGTAATGTTCTGGGTTAGTGATGTAACAGATATTCGCATCCGCATCCGTAACTGCGGATAATCCGCATTGTTTTGAGGATCCGCATCTGCATCCGCATCCGCATATACTTTAACGGAGCTCCGGTCAGGCCAGCGTTCGGCATTAATAGATAAATTTTTTAAATCGTTTGACATATAATTTAATTATAATTTTTAAATAGTAGTGACAGTTTTCTCTTTAGATTTTTTACATTTTCAAAACTATATATTGTAACATGCACAAACACGTGAGATAAGCGCAATGTCGCGACGGACGACGCGACGGTTATATTGTCGCGCCATGGTCCCGTCGTTCTACTAAAGTTCTTAATTCTTAAAGCCGATCAGTTGTTGAACGGATGGCAACTGTTATGGTTCGTTTTATGCATTGTTCGTCATTCATTTTATTGTTTGCTGTATTTGGTAATAAAGTGAATTAAAATGAAACCAAAAACAAGCTTCATTTGGGAATATTTCTCGGAAATTAACAGTTCAGTTGCTCGTTGTAACATTTGTGAAAAGGATTATTCACGAAAAGGACGTACCACATCTTCTTTAAAAAATCATTTGAAGTCGAAGCACACAAAAATGTTTGAAGAGTTAGAAAAACGTATAGCTGAAAATGCCGAACAGGGCCAGCCAACCTGTAGTACATCTACAGACACAGGTTCAAATACAAAACAACTTTCTTTACAAGAATGTTTAACGAAGAATGTATGTTGGGATTTAACATATCCAAAATCCAAAGAGACGAATCGACTAATAGGCGAAATGATTGCTTTGGAAGACTTACCATTCAACTTCGTTGAAGGTGTTGCTTTTCGGCGATTGATCAATACAATACTTCCACGATATAAATTGAGCGGCCGTCAGTTTTTTACGTCTCTTGTATGTGACGATTTATATAACAGCGTGGCAAATAAAATTAAAGTATTATTAAAAGACCTTGAGAAAATATTCTTTACAACTGATGTTTGGTCTGATACAAGTTCTGGGACTTCATTAGTTAGTTTGATTGCTCATGGTGTAAACGAAGGTTTTGAAAGAGTAAGAATTATTTTGAAATGTGAAATAATGGAAGGACGTCACACGGGTCAAGTTATTTCGACAAAAATTGAATCCATCCTTGAAGAATGGGGTATAAAACACGATGCTGTTCACTGTGTGGTACGCGATCGTGGCAGCAACATGATTAAAGCAATGCAGATATCTGGTTTCACTGATTACATTGTTTCAAAACATAAAGGTGTGTGATTCATCAAATACAGTGTTGTATTAAAAATGTGATATTATCGGAAGAATGGGTTCAAGAAATAATTGAAAAGGTGAAAAAAGTTTCAACACATTTTAATCATTCCCTAGTAGCACAAGATGAACTAAAGGCTATACAGGAAATAAGAATGAAGCAATTTCCATTGTCAACAATTCAAAATTGTCCCACTAGGTAAGCCAACGATTGTGTATAAATCAGATATTGTGTAACTAATTTTAATTTCAGATGGAACAGCACATTTTACATGTTGGAGCGTTTTGTTAAAATAAAAGTTTCTTTACTTTTATACTTAACTACAAAACAATTTGTATCATTTTCTCCAGATGATTTGTCAACAATTGACCTGTTGTTAAAATTGTTGGCACCTTTCGAAGAACTTACTAAAGAATTGAGTAACTCAAAGAACAGCATTTCTATGGTTATACCACTTATGCATGTTATCCTGACAACATTAAAAGCTGAGAAAGATAACCAGAATACGCCAGAAAAAATCAAAGCACTTTTCGTTAAAGTTATACGAGAAATAAGTGAAAGATTTGGCGATTTAAATAAAAATTTGCTATGTTCGGTTTCTACGTACTTAGATCCGCGATATAAAGCAAAGTTTTTTAACAGTTTGAAAGAGAAGAAGTCGAAGCCATAATAGTTAATTTGTGTCAAAATCAAACGATCTATGAAAATAAAGATTGTAGTCCGATACATAAGAAAAGAAAAATTGATAATCAAATTGCTACTAGTTCTAGCAGTTGTTCAATGCTACTACAGTCAGTACAATCCATTCTAAGTTCAAGCGAAAGTGANAAATCGTGTGACATATAATTTAATTATAATTTTTAAATAGTAGTGACAGTTTTCTCTTTAGATTTTTTACATTTTCAAAACTAGATATTGTAACATGCACGAACACGTGAGATAAGCACAATGTCGCGACGGACGACGCGAGACTTATATTGTCGCGCCATGGTCCCGTCGTTCTACTAAAGTTCTTAATTCTTAAAGTCAGTTGTTGAACGAATGGCAACTGATATGGTTCGTTTTATGCATTGTTCGTCATTCGTTTTATTGTTTGCTGTATTTGGTAATAAAATGAATTAAAATGAAACCAAAAACAAGCTTCATTNATGTGGTGGCGACAGAATGGGTACAAATATACTGTTTTATTGCCGATTGTTCGCCAATATTTATCAACGCCACCAAGCAGCTTTACCAGTGAACAGCTATTTAGTGGAGCATCCTTAATATATACGGATAACAGAAAAAATCTTCGAGGAGAAAAGGCATTAAAATTGCTTTTTTTAAAATATAACTTGCCTGTAATAAATTACGAATGTTAGATATAAAATAGAGAAATTACCATAGAAATATTATTTTTATAAAAATTTTAGTATGTAACTTTTTTTAATAACTCCGCATCCGTATCCGCTAAACCCACATCCGTAACATCACTATTCTGGGTATTACTAAACACAGGGTAGAAGGAGTGGCAACCTTCTTCTAACTTCCTTGAAGTTAAGATTTCACAAGAAAAGACGGCGGTTATAGAAAGACTGCAAAGATTACTTCAAAATGTGCTGCTTTAAAAGCATTTATTAATCAATTCAAATCCACAGAGCATTACTGCACGGAGCAAAGTCGAAGACATTATCTCAGTAGATCTCCCCATTTCAAAAATGTGGAGAATTTATCAAAAGCAGGTTCAAGATCCGGTCCTTAGTGTTAAGCAATGCGATTTCAATAAGGTTTTTGTAACTTTTTTTAATATTGGGTTTCGAACACCACGGACGGACCTGTGTTCAAAATATCTTCAATTAGGAGAGAAAATAAAGAAAGAAACCGACAAAACTAGAAAGACTAAATTTTTAACGAAAAAAAGGATCCATAAGCTTCGTGTGAAGACTTCCTTTAGCCTGCTGATGAAAAAAGTGCATGGTTTATTCACTATAAGCTTTGACTGCCAAAAAAACTTTGTTACCAAAAGGATATAATGAAATAGCGGCTTGTGTTTATGACATACCTGAAAATATCGATTTTACAGGAATTTCTACACTACGATGCGTTGCAGATAGCTGTGGAGGCCAAAACAAAAATTCGATTCTTATATTAATGCTTGGAAAGTAGATCATACACGAGGCACCTTCAACTCTTGAAAAAATAGAACGCATTTTCCCTGTTCTTGGGCATTCATTTATTCCGCCCAATAGAGTGTTTGCAGGGATAGAAAAACTCATCAGCAAGAAGGAGGTACTTTCCCAACCAGAGGTATTTTACACAATTTTGCAAAGCTATGGCCAGGTATTTCAAGCGTTTCTTTATTAAAATTAATCAAAAAAAGAATAACATTCTTATTCAAGAAGAATTTCCTTACAAGGTCAAGCTAGGGAATTAAAGTGGAGTTTGTAGAAAGGGAAAATGGGTAAACACAGCAAATCCTAAACAATTTCTACCGGAAGGATCCAAAATGCTTCTAAAGCTCACGATGTTGATAAGTTTTTAAAAAAACATTATAGCGATATTGGCAGCATATCGACTGCCTTGAGTTTTACAGAACATCATTCTTTCCCAACTGGCTTCTACNGTCGAGGAGAAAAAGCATCAAAATTGCTTTTTTTAAAATATAACTTGCCTGTAATAAATTACGAATGTTAGATATAAAATAGAGAAATTACAATAGAAATATTATTTTCATAAAAATTTTAGTATGTAACTTTTTTTTAATAACTCCGCATCCGTTAAATCCGCATCCAAAAATCCGCATCCGCATGCGCGAAATTAGAATTTTAAAATCCGGTCCCGCATCCGCGAAATTTAAATTAAAAAATCTGGTTCCGTATCCGCTAAACCCACATCCGTAACATCACTATTCTGGGTATTACTAAACACAGGGTAGAAGGAGTGGCAACCTTCTTCTAACTTCCTTGAAATTAAGATTCCACAAGAAAAGACGGCGGTTATAGAAAGACTGCAAAGATTACTTCAAAATGTGCTGCTTTAAAAGCATTTATTAATCAATTCAAATGCACAGAGCATTACTGCACGACTTTGCACGAGCAAAGTCGAAGACACTATCTCAGTAAATCTCCCCATTTCAAAAATGTGGAGAATTTATGAAAAGCAGGTTCAAGATCCGGTCCTTAGTGTTAAGCAATGCTAATTAGGAGAGAAAATAAAGAAAGAAATCGACAAAACTAAAAAGAGGCACCTTCAACTCTTGAAAAAATAGAACGCATTTTCCCTGTTCTTGGGCATTCATTTATTCCGCCCGATAGAGTGTTTGCAGAGATAGAAAAAGTCATCAGAAAGAAGGAGGTATTTTCCCAACCAGAGGTATTTTACATAATTTTGCAAAGCTATGGCCAGGTATTTCAAGCGTTTCTTTATTAAAATTAATCAAAAAAAGAATAACATTCTTATTCAAGAAGAATTTCCTTACAAGGTCAATCTAGGGAATTAAAGTGGAGTTTGTAGAAAGGGAAAATGGGTAAACACAGCAAATCCTAAACAAATTTCTACCGGAAGGATCCAAAATGCTTCTAAAGCTCACGATGTTGATAAGTTTTTAAAAAAACATTATAGCGATATTGGCAGCATATCGACTGCCTTGAGTTTTACAGAACATCATTCTTTCCCAAATGGCTTCTACAAATAAACCGGACGAGGAAGAGTTTACTGTAGAAGAGAATATTCTTTGTGAAAATAAAATTGATAAAGTGTCAAAAGAGGTCAAATTCCAATTTAAATTCAAAATTTTGAGAAATATGCTTGAAATATTTCGTTTTGACTCATACATAATGATAATCTTAAATATTAAGCCAGAACTAAAACAGCGGTAAAATTTTTGAACTCTTATTTTTGCTGCTACAGTTTTTATGCTTTCCTGAAAGAAATTTATATTTTATTAGTTTTGTCTTCTCTCCTATATACATTTTTTATTGGATAATTGTTTTTGTATATCACCAATGCATTTATTGCTACGAAGTTTAACTTACCAAAGAATACGGCAAAAATCCATCGGCTCGATTTTCTAGAAACTGAATACGATTTACATAATGCATCTACAGCAACAACCCCACCTTTAGCTGAATTATAAAATAATATATACACTTCCAGTTTCTTTTTTATTGAATTTCTGTGAACATCCGTTGTTGCAGCACAGTGTAACATAAAAGTACTACTCTACCTTTCTTAGGTATGTCGGAAATTAACATTTTATTTTTTGGGAGCGAAATAATGTTGTGAATTGAATTGTTCTCTCTCCTTTTCTAGTCATAAATTCATTAATGGAATTACACTTTTATTTTTACGGAGTGTATCAACACACGCAATTTTATGTTTTACTAATAAAGTATGCATCATGCGAATGTTCATGAACCAATTGTGTATTGTAACATTCCTCGACGTTTACAGCTTTCACAAGACGTTCTACAATAGAAACTGGATCATTATTTGCATAATAATTTTGAGCATCCCTAAGCAAGAAATATTTTAATTCCATAACGAGCAGGTTTAATATCTTCAAAACCACTTGTCGGATCAATATGAAATTTAAAATGTGAATTTGACTAAACAAAATCTTTTGCTAACGAATCTTTCAACTATTTAGCTGTCAAACTTTTCAAGATGCAGTGCCAACTTAACTTTTTTTTTAAATAGGACCACTAGTCAAAAATGACATCATTGAAAAGCTTATTTTATTCTGCATTTTTATAACTGCAAAGAATAGCAGCTTCCTAAATATTCCAAAGGGCAATAAAACAATGTCCGGGGAAGGTACAAAGAATAGCAACATCGTAGTTCCAGTCGATGACGTAATAAATTGTCTTTAAAAATTAAATGGGCATATTTTACCCAAGCACGCGTCCTTCCAGGTGAAAGCGTTTAAAGAATAAAGGTGATTAAATTGTAAATTTATAAAGAGAATAAAACAAGATTTGGAATTAAATAATAAATGGGGTAATATGTAAAATGTTCATTTATTTAATACTTTTGGTAAAATTTGGCTAAATTCTACTATGCTTTGTCTTCTCGTTTTTATCAATGTCTTAATTTGCCTTCCTTTGTTATTCGTTGCATGAAATAGCCAACTCTGATTTCAACAGAATCTATTCCTTTCGATTCAAGAGTAGTTAATAATAATAACACAACATGTCTAGAGTATTGTCTAATGTTTAAAATCCATCGAAGTAATAGTCTCTAAGAGCCTTTTGAAATTCCCTCATTAAGCTAAATTGGCTGGGAGCGGCTTGGTTGTTTGCCTGTCTCATTCTTTCGCTCTCCCACTTTCTAAAAGTCACCGATGTTACATATTGAATTTAACATTGCATATTGAGCCATGAGGTTTATTTGAGATTATACGTTGAACTTATAGAGAAGAAATTGGGCAACTTATATTCATTATAGCTTTCGGTCCAAACTCACAGAATGAAAGTAGCCTAAGTGGCCATAATTCATGGTACGATTAAATCTTTAAAATTATTAAATGATGTATTATCAACTATGCGAGTCTGACTCAGATAGATTGAAAAAATATTCCAAAATTGCGTCCTGCTTCTTCCAAATAATTAAAGTTGCCATATTAGTTGCTACTTGTACTTTCTACGAAAGGAATAGTTTATTCCACAATTTGGGAATGATTGACAAGTAGGT